TTACATCATCCCCATAACAATCACTCCCAACAATATTATTTTAATCATATCAGGAACTCTTATTTTCATCCCATCATTCGGTTTCACTTCTTCTTCTTCTTCTCCTCCTTTCTGTGTCTCTTTGTTTGAATCGGTGGTACATTTGGTAGGTTTGCACTTTCTCATCGACGTCAACGTCACTGTTGACGTCACTGTCGACGTACTCGTTGTCGTACTCGTATGCAATGACGTGCTTGTCACCCATGTATCTGTCGTCTGTATCATTGTACACTCTTCTGTTACTTTTCCTCCACTTTCCGATTTGGTTACCGTAACAGTCTTCTCAACGGTCTTCTCATCAGCCTTGCCATCAGTCTTTGTTTCCGTCTTTGTTTCCGTCTTTGTTTCCGTCTTCGTTTCTGTTATTTTCTCTGTATGATGAGGCTTAATTTCTAATGGTTCCAGTTTACATAAATCGTCTATTTCTCCGCAAACTTTTTTAGATTCCTCGCAATCCTCTTTAAAACCGCAATCTAGTTGTAAAGCGCTGCATTCCTCTTTCAATTCCAAATACAGCTCCAATGCTACCGTCGTTGCATCAAATGCTTTGACCTCTACTTCTGATACTCCTCCATCTACATACGCTCTTTTAACGAGTCCAAGTTTTGCATACTTCATCGTTCCACTTGGTGTCCCTGGTGTGCCTGATGTTCCACCAGTTGATGGTGGTGGTGGTGGCACTGCTGGTGATGATGATGACCCTGATTCTGGTTGTACTGGTTGTAATACTTGCTCTGAAGCACTGCCATTCTGCGCACTTGGCATTACAGTTTCTCGAGGCTTCGATAGTAATAACTTAGCTTTATTTGTAGATTCTTCTGCCGCCTTTTTGAGCTCATCGTACTCATTCTTCATCTTTGTCAACTCATCTTTCGCTTTCTTCAGTTCGTCTTTTAAAGTAAGACATCTCTCTTTTACTTTACCAACTAATTTTTTGCAAACATTTCCCTTGGTAGGATCATCACAATTAGTAAGCAGAATTTTGAATGTTCCATTCTTTTGCAAGTCAGTACAACTCTCTCCTAATTTTTTTTTACAATCATCATCTTTGCTTAAACTGCCTTTCAACAGGTGAGTCAGCTCCTCCTCTAATTTCAACCTTTTAAAGGTTTCACTGCATTTTTCTTCGAGTTTGTCACAGTTATGATCATTGCCATTATCTTTTTTTTTCAAGTCATCCGGACAATTCTTCATAAGTTGGTGACAATGTCGGCCCCATGTTGTGCAGAGTTCTTCGAGTGTTGCTTCATTTCCATTTGCTCCTCCAATTTTTCCTACAATTCCTTCATTCTTGATGTTTTCTTTTAAATATCTACAATCTTGACTTGTATGGAATACCATATAACTACATGTTTCTTCTGGTAAAGCACATGAAACACTAAATGAATTCTTTCTCCTCTTATATAAAGTATTACATTTCTCATGCAATGCCTTTGTACAGTTTTCCTGAATCATTAACGAATCATCCTTTTTTTCTAAAAATACTTTTCTAAATCTTTCTGTAACCTTAAAGTATTCACAGCGTCTTTTCAATGTTATACACTTTTCTAAATTCAATAATGAATCACTACTAAGTTCATCACACTTCTCTCCCAATTTAACACAATCCTTTTCTAATGGAAAATCTCTCTGATCATCTAAAAGCAAACTTAACTCTTTGGATTGAAGAAAAATATCATTTGAAAGCGCATAACATAGTTCTTTAGGATAAAGACATCGTGGAAGATATTTTTTATCAAGTTTTGTACAGTTTCCCACTACATATTTTTTACAATCACCAGGATCGCTACGATATCTTACAAGACCAAGCATTCCCCTCAATTCCTTTTGAAAGAACTTATTCAACATCCTGTCTTGTCCCTTTTTATAGCACGCTGATCGTAGATTTTGACATGCTTCACCAATCTCATTATCTTTACACGCATTTTCTAAATAGAAACATTCCGACTCAAGTTCTGCACACTCTCCCTTCGTAAATAATGTTGGCAGTTCTCTCCAGAATAAAGGATCTGATTTTTCATTATTATATTTTGTAGACAACCCTTTGAGATAAAGTTTTAATTTGAGATTTGTACATCTTTCTTTTACATTTACATCTAGTAATTCTTTGCATTTGTCGTTTTTCTTTTCATCTTTGCATAACTCTTTCAAATTATGATCCAAATACTTAGAAGTTTCACATTTTTTTAACGCTTCGGTGCACTTTTTATCTGGTTCCTTCTCATTCCCATCTCTGCTCAACGCTAGCAAGAGATCTTGCAGAAATTTTGTACCCGACTTCCTTGGTAGATCCACTCCTGATTTTCCAATAATAATCCCATGTTTTTCCGCGTTTTTATACACATCTTCCAACCCAATACTTCTCAACAACGACGGCTTCGGCTTGACCGGACTAGAATCAGATTCCGGTGCTTTATATGTGAATCCTTTTCCCTCGCACTGCTTCTTATCCTCATCACACTTTGAACCATCACACGCTTCTCCGTAAAAATGACATTTCTCAAGTCTTTCATGACATTTTTCCTTTAATTCGCCATCTTTAAGCTTTTCTTTTAAAGGCCCACAAACAGTATCCAATTTTGTTTTCAGATCTCCACACGTTCCACTTGGATCAAGGCAAAAAGACATCAATTCGTCGCTTTCTCGGCTCAACACTGGGCAAACCTTTTCCATCTTTCCTTTACATTCATTCACTTCTTTAGCATCCCCTCCGAGCGCCCTGAAAAGAAGCTCCTCTGCCACCTTTTCACGCTTCAATTTGTAACATCCTTCCCTCAACTCGATACAGTTATCCTTAAGATTAGCTGGGTCTGCTTCCTCTAAAAGTATACATTTTTCTTCATATTTTTTACAATTTTCATCTTTTATATCTACCAATGCATCAAGTCCCTCTTCAAGAGCTTTCAATTCTTTTTCAACTTCGCCTTTCAGGGTTTTGCATTTTCCGTCTCGTTTTTTATCATCACAAAGTCCTTTAACTTTATCATCCACATTCTCTAGATTTTTATCTGCTTCCTTCAACTCTTTACAATATTTCTCGAGTTCTTCTTTGCATTTTTGTTCTTCTTTATATTTGTCCTTCACAATGAAAGCCAAAAGGTGTTCCTCCTTAATCTCATCTTGTTTTTGTGCTGCTGGTGCTCCTGGTGCTCCTGCTCCTGATGCTTGCCTCTTAACCGGCCGTGCCAT